AACGCAATACTCTTTTTTCAAAACGAGAACCCAACGCAGGAGGGTTGTGAGGAAAAAACAACGGAACACCTGCTGGCAGGCCCATTTCGTATGTAACGTGCCTTCTGATACTCCCTCCCTTATGATCCACTCTTCCCCTGCCTCCCCTCATCCTGCTCATCCTCGTCCCTCTCTTCCCTTTCCATTCCACTCCTTCTCATACGACTGCTCCTCCCCAGGAGCCAACCCACCCAAACGAAAGCTCACTGCAAGCTCCTCAAAGATTCTGGAGCACGCGGAGAATCGCTCCACCTCAAAGAAGCTCCTCCTTCTGCTCCTCCTGCTCCTCCTTTCTGAGGATCTCCATTCTGGGGATACCCAATGTGAAACACATATTGGTTAATTGTCTTGATGTTCGGGGCACCTCTAACTTCCTTCCTTGCGCCGCCGAATGTGAAAGCTAGCGCCTGTCCTGTCTGCTGCGCTGAAGACGGCGCCTGCGTGGGGACTGACAAGTGGGAGCGACAAATCCAGACGGCGCCAACGTTCGTGAAGACGTCTGCGCACGAACATATCCCAAAGCGACCGCGGTCGTGTCGCGCGCTCCACGGCCTGATGTATAACTAATTCGACACTTCTCGCATGTAAACGGCCTGGCGCACTCTGCCAGCACATCGTTCATGACGCGTGCACAGACGAGCGGGATGGGAGCCATTACAAAAGTGGCATATTTTTGCAGTCGCACTCATTCAAGCAAAAAACCTCTGACCCTGTCGGCGCGTGCGAGGGAGTCCTGGGGTGGTCGTGGTGGGATGGTCCTTCGGGACGCTGATTCACTCGAAGCTCTCCCCCCGTTCCGTACGGTCACCTGGGGCTCCGTAGGCAAGCCAATCCGATGTGAATCGACCAATGTCGCATTCGAGTCGAAAGGGAGCCCCTTCCCGTTGATCCCCTCCCTGTCGGGTGCGGGGGGGCACCGAGGGTCCCGGGGGAGGTCTCGGGGTAGATCCTAAGGGGAAGTTCCACGGGTGGTGCCTCTGCCAGCGTTCCCCTGAGATCCCGCGGCGCAAAAGAAGTACACATCGCGAGAATTCACGACGTGAGCCCTATACCCCATCTTTTTGCTACAATTTCCAAGCAAGATCGGTGGGCCCGAAACCTGGCGCAATCACCCGGCCTGGAAACATAAGGCTCCAGGATCTCAAGGTTCACAACGCTGGAGATCTGGGGTCCAGGCCCTCAAAGGCGACCTCTTGGTGCCCTCTCCAGGGTGTGCGCTCGGCGATCTGGCCAGGGAGCTTCGGGGCGCGTCATGCCGCGGCGTGGCAGCGAAAGCCCACCCAGGAAACCGCAAAGGACGCCGAAAAACCAAGAAACCTCGGCCTTCGAAAACCTATGTGATGTTAGCCAGCGTGGACCCCAAATAGTGTGCTTCTAGAAATCAATAGTGTGTAATCTATATGTTGTGCAATATTTGTGGTGCTGTCTGCGCTGCGCAATCGATGTACTGTAAGCGATGTGATGCAATCGATGTTGTGCAATATACGTGGTGCAATCTAGGATGTGCAACGTACGCAGTGCAATCTAAGTTGTGAGCGGTCTAAATGCGCGCCGCAGGCGCGACAAGCCGCTCGTGGTATATACCTAGATCTATAGACACCTACACACATACAAACACACACACAAACACACAATTATACATACATACATACAGACAGACATACAGACAGACCGACAGACAGGCAGACAGACAGACAGACAGACAGACAGACATACATCCATACATACATACATACATACGTACATACATACATACATACATACATACATACATACACAAATGCATGCACATCTACACACATACACATATACATGCATACACATGCATACATACATACACATGCACATACATACACATATACATACGTACATATACGCATGCATACATACATACATGTATACATATATACATGTATACGTACATACATGTATACACACATGCATACATATACACATACATACATGCATACATACTTACATACATACATACAAACTCAGATGCGTGGGGCACTATACGTGGTGAAGCCTACATGGTGCAATATACCGTGTGCAACCTTTGTAGTGCAATCTATGTAGTGCAATATATGCTGTGCAACCCTTGTGGTTATGCAAAACATGTTGTGCCAACTTTGTGTTGCAGTCTATGCGGTGCAATAGTTGTGGGTGCAACACATGTTGTGCAATCGATGTAGTGCAATATATTCGGTGCAATCTAGGTAATGCAACCGTTGTTCTGAACGATAAAAGAAGCGCAACACCGGCGCGATTTGTTGTTCGTGCAAACTATGTGGTGCAATCCAGCGGCGGCGACGCGGCGGCGAAGGGGCGGCGACGGCGACCACATAGCCGCCAGACCGAAGGCACAACCCAGTTCCATACAACACAAGTAAGAACCCCTAAGAGCAAGCAACGTTTGGGGAAAACCCAGAAACCACAAACCTCGACCGTTCAAGATGACAAGGAACATCCAAAGACCACGGAACCATAACATATGTTGAAGGACCCTATAGAAACCAGAAGTCTCGGACCTCGACCCTCGAAAACACCATCTATCCATGAAACCCGACCCCCCCCCCCTCCCAGGCATCCGACGGCTCGAAGATCGATCTTCGAACCTCAATGATCGATCCTCGAGCCTCGAAGATCGATCCTCGATCCCCGAACCTCGAAGACCGAAACCTCGACCGTCGAAGATTGATCCTCCAACCTCGACCCTGCCTCCCACCAGAAATATCCGACGGCTCGTCGTATTCAAGACATGCAGGCCCCCCGACCTGTCGGTCTCCCTCCCCGCTCAGGGCTCCCCTTTCATCTGGGGGGCAGGCTGTCGATTGTCCCAAGGCGTACAAACTGCCTCCAGACGCTAACACAAAGAAAACATCTCGGACTCAAGCACAACCAAAATATTGAACAAAACCATACGCATGTGTTTCTCTGTTTTCGGTGTTCGGCCCCTGGGAACTCTCGCCGGGCCCCGGGACCACCAAAAAACGAATCGGGATAAGAGACCCACCATGGGGAAAGGGTCAGGACTTCCAGGGACCCCGCATTCAAAAAATCAAGGCATCGGATTTCTGGGCTGTCGAGTGGACAGATGTCTGGACCACCCTCCTCAAAATGAACCCCTGGAGCTCTCCAGCGGTGCGTTCTGACAAACTGTCGAGGCGGATCGGGCCGCGGCTACGAGGGCGCCTTGGCCACTAAAAAAACAGCCCCTGGACCTCTCCCGGGGCGTATTCTAGTGAGAACTTCGGAAACCCGAAAGGGAGAGAAACTACTTCGAGCCTCGACTCCCTCGGTCTGTTGATCTTCATGCTGAGTCATGCTCTGGCTACACGCCGGCTGCACGCAAGAGCGACCCTGTGGCAAGGATGGCGCTGGTGCGCGGCTCTCAGGACGCCAGGGGGGGTAACCCCACGCGCGCAAACCGCTGCCATCGCATCGCATCCAGCGAACGGGGGAAACCAGTGGGCCCGGACCAGACGTCACTCTGGCGAAATGATCCGCAAACATCCGACAAGATTGTTTCAACCCGCGGCCCACGAGTTTCCGATCCCTTCCCCAGAAGTATTTTTGTCCCAGGTCCTGTTTGATGGCCCTGGGGCCCGATGACAGCCCCGAAGGGCCCAAAAGGAGGAAACAAAACAAAAAAAACAAACAATTAAACTGAAATAGAATCGTCCCGTCGTGCGGACCCCACCCAGCCCCCCCCCAACGGGGGGGGCTCGCCGGACGCCCACCGCAGCTTCCCGAGCAGCGCCTCGCACTCTGCATGGGGCACGCAGCCGAGGCTGGCGGCACCGAGCGTCTCCTGGGGTTGAGGCGGGGAAGAGGGTCAGATGCTCGTTCTGGGGACCTTCCTGAAGCCACTTGCTCCGCTCATGCGTCGATGCTGCGTTGAACGTCCGTCGACTTGTGTCGAACTTGAATCAGACTCGAATCAGACGAAAGGCAAACTGGATTCGAACATATCCGTTAGCTGGGAGCCTCGCTCGTTGGGTACGCTGCATCGGCGATGCGGGGCGGTTCTCCGACCCTATCTACTCGGGCCCCACTTAAGAGGTTTGCATTGGGTGGACCCCAGGAGGATCCCCCAAACGAGCAACTAAGGAGGAGAGGTCTGGGCAACAGCTGGCGCCCCCTGGAGCGCGCGACATTGGAGATGAGGAGGCAAGAGGAGTAGCGAGCGCATGAAGGGACGCGCCGAGTCAGGGTGCGGGACGGGCAACAACGATTGGGAAAAGGAGAAAAGCGCACAATCCCTCACATAACGAATTGAGAGCACGCGAAGGCCGCCCCAAACATATCCTCACACACGGGCCCAACAATGGGCCAGTGTGGCAGACTCAAGCCAGGACAGCTGACCTGGGAGATCGGGGAGGCGGGACGACAAACCCACCCACCCACCCCCCAACCTCCAGAAATAATATGGTTTCAGAAAGGAAGAAAAAAATAACAACAACAACAACAACAGCAACAACAACAACAACAACAACAACAACAACAACAACAACAACAACACCAACAACAACACCAACACCAACACCAACAACAACAACACCACCACCACCACCAACAACAACAACACCAACAACAACAACAACACCAACATCAACAACAACAGCATCAGCAGCAGCAACAACAACAACAACAAGGGAACAAGGACACTGGGGACCCACGGGGATTTGAACCGAGGCGCTTGGGGCCTGTCGGACGCCATCGCATCTTCATTCTTCCTTGATCGTCATCCCGAAATGTGACGCGACGACTACGATGGCGATAGAATATATGGCTGCGCGTGCTGCTATGCCACGAACGGTCCAAATTCAATGCCCAGCGATGCTGCGCGGGGCGCGCGCGCCACCCCCGCTACCGCCCCGTGTAGCGGCGAGCCCGCCCGCGCAGCACAACTAGCTCCGAAGCTCTAGGCGGCGCTCTGTCTAAAGTTGGCCTGCGCACAGCTACGACGCCCCCGCCAGGCTGGCCACGCTCTCCCACAGCGCGGCGCCCGTGCATGCCAAGTTCTGCCTCCACTGCCACGACATGATGTATGTGCGCAGCTCAGGGTTCACGGCGCGACCCTTGGCGGCCTTCAGGGTCCGCGGGATGTACGACTTCATGTACTTCCACCGTGAGTACATTGCCTGCGTGCCAGCCAGGCGGGACTGCCCCCTCTTCTTCTTGGCAATGAGCTTCGTGCACTGCCGCTTCTGGTGCACCACCGCCGACAGCGCGAAGTTGCGGCCTGCCTTGTTCTGCTGCTCGACGATCTTGGGCCAGGCCAGTGCGCCATCGGAGAAGAGGAACACCTTCTTCTTCCTCACCAGTCTGTTCATGATGCCCGACTTGAGAACCTCGCCCTGCGCCTCGGGCGGCGGCGCCGTGCCAGGCGGCACCACGCGGACAGGAAGTGGGGCAGCGGCCACCCTGCCACCTCGCTCACAAAGCCCCACGTAGCGGACGTGGACCATGTAGCGCTTGGGCTCCACGAACTTGCAGGACCGCTTCTTCGCCCTGCATGCCTTCAACCTCAGGTATGCGATCGTCCTCTTCTTCGCCTCTGCGATCTCGGTCCGCCACGTCGTGCTCTTGCTGATCACCCTGATCTTCCTGGCCAGCGCGCCGTCGCCCTCGACGTTGCGGATGGGCTCGATCTCCCCGCCGAGCTGCCTCGACTCGTTCTCCTTGTCCCCTGCGTCCGCCTCCAAGCCGCGCAGATACCTGTGCAGGCGGTGCGCGACTTTGTACCCGCAGTATGCCGACTTGGCAGCCTTCCGCGCGCTGGCGCTGCCCTGGCCCGCCGCGTCCGTATAGGATTCGAGGAGCGACCTCAGCTGGACGCAGCGCAATTGCCCGATCAGCTTGCACGGAATCTTCGAGAACTTCACGACGCTGCGGTAGCAGTGGCACCCCCAATCGTTGCAGCGGAAGTAGAGCAAGTCCTTGTTGGTGGCACCGCCCCTGGCCCGACTGCACGGGGCGTCCGAAAGGTGCCCCCTCGCGCATGTCGGGCAGCGAAGAGGTGCCCGAGCGAGGAAGCCCGCTTAGACCAGCTCCTCGCAGGCTGCAACCGAGCCTTCGGCCCCGCGCGAACAGGTTCTTCTTCTCCAAATTGGCCTGCAACGCGATGGCGCGCTTCTCGCTGTGGCCAGCCGAGTGCAGCTTGGAGCGCTGGCGCCGCAACTTCTTGAACGACTTCGGCTGGCTCGCCCTCAGCTGGCCCGTCCTCGGCTTGGCGCTGGTCTTCTCCAAGCGGCTGATCTTCGCCTTCAGACTCTTGGCGACAGCAGCGCCAGGGCTCGGGCACGTCGCCACGGTGTGCCCCGACATGCCGCAGCAGCTGCAGCGATGGCGCTTACTCGGCGCCATGGCCAAGGGCGCCCCCGCCGCCGCGCGGCCGCGGCGCCTGCAGAGATGGCAGGCGCAGCGCGCTCGAGCCGAAGAAATCGCCAGATGCCTCGGGCAGGCGCGGGCGGCCACAACATAAACGTGTGATTTGGTCGTGCCTCGAACGCTCCTGGTGATCTCGCGACTCGCAGTAGCAACGCAGTGGTGGTCATCTCGCACTTCTACTTGGAGGTATCACGCCTCGCTGAGTTGCAATTGCGTTCGCTCGCGTCGCTGCGCCCCCCCTGTGCTGCTACTGGGTCGGAGGACTGTTCCCGACGGCAACTTTTCATGGTCATCATGACCCTCCTCCCCCCCCGCCTCTCTCGGACCCAGTAGCAACGCAGCGGTGGCCATATCGCACTTTCAGTTCGAGGTCTCACGCCTCACTGCGTTGCTCTTGCGTTCGCTCGTGTCGCTGTGCTGCTGCTGGTCACAGTGACCACAGCGTAGGCGGACTCGGCGGAGCCTATGTGCATTTTGTTTCTCATTCTACCCGGGCGACCCCGATCCTCGCCCCCGAACGTGCATCCTGCGAGAGAGCTCTAGGATGCCAGGCCCGTGAGCGACCACAAAGCCCTCGCGCTGACGGAGAGCGGTCAGCCCCGACCACCGCTGCGAAGTCATGCGCTAGATGTCCGAGCCCGCCCTCGCTACCAGCCAATGCCACGTGCCGACGATCGCCCCCCCCCCCCCCCATGACTTCATTGCTCGCCTGGTCGTCAGCTTGGCATGGGCCAGTAGCGGGGCATCTCTAAGGTAGATTGCGCGCGGGCGCGCGGCGGGGCCCAGGCCGCGGCGCGCTCCGAGCTCTCATGCAATGGCTGCTCAATCCTCCCCCCCCATGCCTACTGGTGGGAAGAGCGGAGGACTGCTCGGCGACAACGCCTGCGGGCTTGCCTCGACGCCAGGCTGCGTGGCCAAGCCCTCGGCCTCGAGCATCGCCCCCAGCTCCACGGCCAGGATGTCGGGCTGGCCCTCGACAAGCGACGGCGGGGAGCCCCTCGGACGCACCCCCCTCGCCCCCACGCCGTCGATGCGGCACCGGCTGCGCTTGGTGCCGGTGCGCGGTACCTGCGGCCCCGTCGGGAACACGTAACTCCCGTCTCCATCTGGGCGCACGTGGAGAGCGATCGCCCCGCCGCTGGCCTCGGCCTCGGGGCTAGGCGGCGCCGCGCTGAACATGGAGGCCCCGTCGCTGGCCTCGGCCTCGGGGCGCGGCGGCGCCGCGCTCAGCCTGGAGGACAACTCCATGACGGAGAGCAGCTTGGCCTGCAAGGACTCGTTGCACTCGGCGATTTAGGCGTCGGCCAGCTTGTCCCCGCGCACGGTCACGGCACGGTCGATCAAGTCCTGCTCCCCCTGCAACTGCTCGTCGAAGTTGTCGTAGAACACCTCCATGCCCTGCTTGTAGAGGTTGTAGTACTTCTTGTTGTCATTGCCCCAGTACTGCTTGTCGCGCAACCAGTCCTTCTCGATGTTGTCGAAGCTGATGCGGTGGACCACCGCGTCGGGGTCGCTGCTGGGAAAGCGAAGGTACATGGAGTGGCGACCAGCGACGCACGCGACGGTGCGCCTGAGCACCGCGAGGACATGCGCCTGCTTCCACCCCGAGAACGGCTTCATGAACAGCTTCTCAGCCTCGGCCGCGGTGGTAATGGTTCGGTCATCCGCGGGCGGTTCGTCCTTCTCATCGAACTCATTCTCCGCCAAGCACCGCGCTGAGTTCTTCACGAACTTGGCGTCGTTGTACCTGGCCCTGGCGAAGGTGTCCTCTGCGGCGTCGAAGAAGGACTTCAGGTCATCGATCGAGAGATGCCACATGCCAGGGTCGTCAAGGAGAGTGCCCTCGGACGCTGTCCCCTGGCTGGACTTGAAGCCGTCCATCGACTTGCTGCGGCGCCATCCAGGGAGTAGATAACCGCCCGAGCGCGCCGCAGTGCAGCGGCCCATGGCCATGGCGAGCACGATGAAAGTGGGCGTCTTGCCGATGCCAGGCAAGCCAAAGAAGAGGAGTCCAAGCTGCGATAGGAGCGTAAAAATGCACGGAGGCAACACTTCTGGCCACAGCGGGTGCAAGTCGAACACGCACAGGGGGAACGAACGCTCAACCTTGGCGCACCCCGTTGCTGCCTTCGCTCGGTTGTGCACTGCGTTAGCAACTTTAGCCCACGGCCACCCCGCAATCTTGGACCCGCTGCTCGGCTTGATGTTCTTCTCAATGAAGAGCCACTGTTGGTTCATGTCGTTCACGGCGGGCGCGTGCTTGTTGATGAAGTCAATGCCCTCTTCGAGCTCCTCGTCCGTGGCCTCCCATCTCTTCTGTTCGCCGTCTGTCGGTTTCGCCCGTTGCTTCTCCTCCACGCTTGCCCAACCGACGCGGTGGCCAGGGATGCGATCAAGCAACCACTGCAGGGTTTTCTTGTGGAGCCATGGGCCTTTTCTCGCTATTGGAGCATACCCAGTCCCGATCACGAGCTCCTGTGCGGTCTTCAAGGGCACCTGGTTCTGGAACGCGTAGATCTTGACGGCGACGGCAGCGCCGTTGCCGTTGCCACCAACGACAACGGAGTATGTGGTGCCTTCGGGGAGCTCAGCGCCTGGGCGAAGAGCAGGCGGCACGTCGGTGTACGTCTGCCCCGCGATCTGCTCCATGACCTGGTCCAGATTCTCTGGCATCGGAAACTCTTCCACGACGTCGAAGGGAGACCTGGTCACCCTCACCTCGCCCAGCTTCCGCAGAGCACCGCGGGCAAAAGTGCCGACGTCGATGGGCCCGTCAATGTCCCCCGCCGCCTTGCTGGACACGGCGGCGACGTCCAATTCCGAGTAGGTCATGTCCTGGTTCTTCAAGGCGCCCATGGCCTCGTCGATGAACAACGGCATCGCGGGTCGAGCGGGCGCGAGCCTCGTCGGACAACCGCCAGCGATCCAACGATACAGCCAAAGAGCTTGAGCCACACGTCTTTGAACAGAAGCACGCAAGCGATCGCATATCTTGAATTTCGTGTCATTGATTGGCATAAGTTGCGCCACATAGCTTGCAACACATAGGTTGCGACTCATACACGGCACCGCTTGCACCACATACTCTGCACCATGTACGTTGCACCACATACCCTGCACCATGTAGATTGCGCCGCCTAGGTTGCACCTGTAGCTTGAAAGACGGGGGGTCGAGTGAGCACCCACAAGGCCAGTAGGCCATCACATTACACTTATCATCATCACAGCCACCACCATCATCATCAACAAATTCACCGTCATCATCATCATCATTACCATGTCCATCACTGACACCATAGTCGCCATCCTCAGCATCATCGTCATCATCATCATTACCATCATCACCGTCATCATCATCATCCTCGTCTTCATCAAAAACATCCCCATCATCATCATCATCATCATCATCATCATTATGACCTCGAATTGAAAGTGTGATATGGCCACCACTGTGTTGCTACTGGGTCTGAAAGAGGCGGGGGCGGAGGAGGATCATGATGACCATGAAAAGTTGCTGTCGGGAACAGTCCTCCGACCCAGTAGCAACAAAGGGGGGCGCAGCGACACGAGCGAACGCAATTGCAACGCAGCCACATTACACTTATCATCATCACCGCCGTCACCATCGTCATCATCGTCATCACAATTCATCATCATCATTACCATGGCCGTCATTACCACCATAGTCGTCATCCTCATCGTCATCGTCATCATCACCATTACCATCATCATCGTCATCATCATTGTCATCATTGTCATCATCACCTTTATCATCCACGTCTTCATCAAAATCATTCCCATCTGGCACCCGCCGCAAGTTAGGCCATTAAGTGACACTCATCATTGTCACCGCCATCACCATCATCATCATCAAATTCATCATCATCATCATCATCATCAGTACCATGACCATCATTACCACCATAGTCGTCATCCTCCTCCTCCTCCTCCTCATCATCATCATCATCATTACCATCATCATCGTCATCATCATCGTCATCATCATCATCCTCGTCTTCATTCAAAGCATACCCATCATCATTATGACCTCGAACTGAAAGTGCGATATGGCCACCACTGTGTTGCTACTGGGTCCGAAAGAGGCGGGGGCGGAGGAGGAAGATCATGATGACCAAGAGAAGTTGCTGTCGGGAACAGTCCTCCGACCCAGTAGCAACACAGGGGGGCGCAGCGACACGAGCGAACGCAATGGCAACGCAGCCACATTACACTTGTCATCATCACCGCCACCACCATCATCATCAAGTTCACCATCATCATCATTACCATGGCCACTATTACCACCAGAGTCGTCATCCTCATCATCATCACCGTCATCATCATTACCATCACCGTCGTCATCATCATTATCATCATCGTCATCATCATTATCACCCACGTTTTCATCAAATCATGACCATCCGGCACCGGCGGTAAATTAGGCCATCAAGTTACAATTATCATCATCACCGCCATCACCATCGTCATCATCAACTTCATCAGCATCATCATTTTCATTTCCACGGCCATCATTTCACCATAGTCGCCCTCATCATCATCATCATCATCGTCATCATCATCATCATTACCATCATCATCGTCATCATCATTATCATCATCATCGCCATCATCATCATCATTACCATCATCATCGTCACCATCATTATCATCATCGTCATCATTATCATCATTCTCGTCCTGGTCTTCATTAGCATCATCCCCATCATCATCATGACCTCGAAATGAACGTGCGATATGACCACCATTGCGTTGCTACTGGGCCCGAAAAGGGGCGGGGGCGGAGGAGGATCATGATGACCATGAAAAGTTACTGTCGGGAACAGTCCTCCGACCCAGTAGCAACACAGGGTTCCTCCTCCTCCTCCCCCTCCTCGTCTTCATCGTCGTCGGCGGGGTCGGCAGCACCGGCCGTAAGATAAGGCGCCAATATACACTCATCATTATCACCACCACCATTATCATCATCATCGCCAGCCTCATCTTCATCATCGTCGCCATCATCAGCATCATCCTTATCATGAATACCACCATCATCATCGCTATCAGCATGATACTCATCGTCATTACCAGCATCATCATTCATACCATGACCATCATCACCATCACCGTCATGACCGTCATCATAACCGTCATCATCTTCACTATTACAAACCAATCCCAGGCGCCACAGTTGCTTGCATCGGGGCCCTCCTCCTGCACCGACCGCAACGAGATCAACCTTTCGGCCGTCCTCGCCGCTGCTCGACGATAGCGTTGCAGTGCATCCTCCTCCTCTTCCTCCTCCTCTCCTCCTCCTCCTCCTCCTCCTCCTCCTCCTCCTCCTCCTCCTCCTCCTCCTCCTCCTCCTCCTCCTCCTCCTCCTCCTCCTCCCCCACATCCCTCCCATGTCTACTACTCTATATCATTCTCTTCCTGCCTCCTCCTCCGTCCTCGGTGTCCTCCCACACCTCCTCGGGTGACAGCGCCCGCTGCGTTGCTACTGGGTCGGGCCGCGGTCCTCGCAGCTGCACGCCGCTGGCGTTGCAGTCCCTCCTCCTCCCACCTCCTCCTCCCGCCTCCTCCCGCTTCCTCCTCCTCCTCCTCCTCCACCGCCCCTCCTCTGAGAGGAGGGGGGAGAGTCTCCCCCCCTCCTGCTCAAATATTCCCCTCCCCCTTCTCTTCGCACTACCCAGTTTCATCCTCTCCCTGTCTCCTCCTCTGTCCTCGGCAATGCAAACCCAACGCAATGCCATGCAATACGACGCCACACAACGCAAAGCAACGCAGCACACGACATCTAGCACCGCATATACTACACGCGCTGCTGCTGCCTCGGCACCGTTCTTTTTCTCGAATGCGATGCGTTCTGCAGCGTTGCGATAACGTGCCCAGCCCATGCGTTGAATATCCACGCGCGGCAACCGAAACCGCGCCACTAAGGCAGCATGGCGTTGGGACGTTCGCTGGCCATGGCCCCCGCCTGCTGGCCGATTGGCGCTGCAGACGGTCACGCGCCGCAGCACGGGCACGTCTTGATGCTTGGCAATTGCTTCGAATTGCACACTACGCAGAACCGCTTGGTATGCCGGCAGGATCCCTGTCCGCACCGCAGCGCGGCGTAGCCGCACCGCCCGCACTTAAGCAGGCGGCCGCTGCCCGCAGGAATCCTGGACACCAGCTGATCAGGTGTCTGGGATGTCCTCGCTGGGCCGCTGGGATGCACGATGCCATGCTCCTTGTCTGGGCGGCCGTGCTCCTTGCAGCACGCGCAGACCCGACCGTCTGCAGCGCCCGCAAGTTCGAGGCTCTTGTACGCGAGTCCGTCCTCGCCGCAGCTACGGCACCGCCTCATGTAGCAGGTCTCGTAATAGTTCGACCACGCCACTGCGACCTTCGCGGCGTGTCCGCCGCGAGCAGCACGGGGCGCCATCGGTGTCCCGTCAGGCTCGTCGTCGGCGGGGCCCTCGTCCACGGCCTGGCATTGCTTGCCCGTGCCGAGACACAGTCTCATTAGAATTTCTTCCCACTTACCAGAATACGACAGTTTTTCACACGCCCCCCGAACATTGTCCGTGCCGACGCTGGCATGCAGCTGATCGAGGAGCTTGCCCATATCTGGGGGCGGGAGCATGCTGAACGTCACCGACGCGTTTCGCCGCAGCGACTCTGGCTTGAGCGCCCGCAAGTGCACGCGGGCGTTCCAATACCCATTATAAGGGTCATCGCCCTTAGATGTCCGATGGGTCTGCAACTTGGGAGTTCGGTTCTCGTTGAAGCATGTCACTATTTTCTCTTCTAGCTCTTTGTACTGAGGGAACGTTGACGGAGGGTGCTGGTAGCAATGCACCAGCGTGTCCCTCATGCCTGAGAACGAGTCGCAACAGGAACGCACGCTGGACTCGTCGTACTTCAACATCTCGTACCGTTCTCCGGCCATGCCAAGAGTCAGGGCGGTTGCGCCGGAATCCCACGGCTTCTTCTTCTTGCCCAAGGCGCGCAGAACGTGAACAAGCTGCAAGTTCATGAGGTGCCCGTGCACTTTGAACGGGCCTCCGATGGACCGAATCTCTTGCTTAATATCCAGTCCTGGGAGCGCCAGCGCCATGGGCCGATTTGCTTTCCAGAATTTCACCACGTCGTCTCCTGCCTTGCTGTTTCCCAGAAACGTACGAACAGATCTCTTGGAGTCGGCAACTTCAAAGCCACAACGTATGTAATCAAGCCCTCGTTGCCTCGGAATGCTCGGCGCCAGTGTTCATAGTTGTTTTGGGCGCGTTGCAAATCAATCGGTGTGCTGGTTGTTTTCTTGAGCGCGCCCCGCCAATACGAAACCGGTTTGATGGTGCGCCTCTTCGGCTTCGTGCCGCAAGTCTTCCCCATACCGTCGCTGTGGAGCATGATCCTCGGCCTAGTCAAGGCCACGAGCAGCAGGGCGATAAACCTCAGTAAAAATGGTTTGAGCCCGAGGCTACGGAAGGGGATGGCGGTGAGAACGGCGACAGGCTGCGCATGGCCAAGTTCATAATTCCGCTCAGCCCCCCCCCGTCTGCCGAGGGCGGCGTAGCGCACAGTCAAAACGCATCGTAAGGACGCGCGGCAAGGACGCAAGACCCTTGGAGGCCGAAGTTGGGGCATTTGGGACGCGTGTCCTTACCATGCGGTAAGGGCGCGCGGTGAAGACGCAAGGGGCCCAAGGGTACCCTAGGAAAAGGCGCGCGCCCTTACCATGCGCGTTGACTGTATCCGATGTTTGGCCCCCCCCCCTGTGTTGCTACTGGGTCGGCAGGCTGTTCCTGAGTGCAGCTTCTCATTGTCATCATGGTTTTCCTCATCCCTCCTCCGCCTCTTCTGGACCCCGTAGCAACGCAGTGGTGGCCATATCGCACTTTTACTTCGAGGTCTCACGCCTCGCTGTGTTGCAATTGCGTTCGCTCGTGTCGCTGCGCCCCCCTGTGTTGCCACTGGGTCGGAGGGCTGTTCCCGACGGCAACTTTTCACGGCCATCATGGCCCTCCTCCCCCCCCGCCTCTCTCGGACCCAGTAGCAACGCAGCGGTGGCCATATCGCACTTTTACTTCGAGGTCTCACGCCTCGCTGTGTTGCAATTTCGTTTGCTCCTGTCGCTGCGCCCCTCTGTGTTGCTACTGGGTCGGAAGACTGTTCCCGACAGCAACTTCTCATGGTCATCATGATCCTCCTCCTCCTCCGCCCCCCCCGCCTTTTTCGGGCCCAGTAGCAACGCGGTGGACGCGCCCAAGAGCGTCGGACGCCGCGACGGCCGATATTCAAGACAAAGGGCAGCCAACGGATTCGAGGCGGCCTGGCGGAGCCTGGTGCTCCGCATTCGGAGGCAGGCGTCGCTCCTTGCGAAGCAATAGTTAGGGTCCACAGGCAACGACGATGCCGACGCTCTTGCCTGCCGCGTCGCTCCGGTCGGCGGCCTTCCAAGGAAACGCCCTGCCTCTCATCGTCGTCGACGTTGTCCTCGTCGTCGTTGCCGTCGCCATCGCCGTCGCCGCCCTCGCGGTCGCCGTCGCCGTCGCCGTCGTTGCCGTCGCCGTCGCTGGCTCAGGACAGGCCCCCCGCCCCGAGTACCACAGTTGCTTGCGCGGGGCCTCCGCCGTCGTCGTCGGCGCCGCCGTCGTCGTCGCCGTCGCCGCGATACCCTCGGAGGTGCTGGGCTGCCTGACAGAGCCTCCCTATACCCTCCTAACACTTCCTGTGGGCCCCGAACCCTCGGTGCTCCGAATCTTCGCGGCCCCCTGCGAATCACAAAGATTCCGCAACTCTTTGCGATCCCTTGCGAATCACAGAGATTCCGCAAATCTGCGCGACCCCCTGCGAATCACAAAGATTCAAAGATCCCGAGCGCAGCCTTTCCACGCAATCTTTGTGATCAAGCCCTCGGCTGTCACAAAGATTGCCACGAAATGCAGCGCTGAGAATCTTTGAATCTTTGTGATTCCCTGCGAATCACAAAGATTCTGCAAATCTTTGCGACCCCCTGCGAATCACAGAGATTCCGCAAATCTTTGTGATTCCCTGCGAATCACATAGATTCAAAGATTCCGAGCGCAGCCTTTCCAATCAATTTTTGTGATCAAGCCCTCGGCTGTCACAAAGATTGCCACGAAATGCAGCGCTGGAGATCTTTGAATCTTTGTGATTCCCTGCGAACCACAAAGATTCCGCAAATCTTTGTGATTCCCTGCGAATCACAAAGATTCCGCAAATATTTGCGATCCCCTGCGCATCGCAAAGATTCGAAGACCCCGAGCGCATCTAAGAAGAACCGCGCTGGTCATCTTCGAAGCTTTGTGAGCCTCGAGGGGCCGCAAAGACTTCAAGTGTTTTTGTGACCTTGATCTGCCTCAGCGCGTTGGCATCAAGGAACACGTGGGCCCCCAGTGTCCTTGTTGCCAACAAACAACAACAACAACAACGAAACATCGAGGCCGAGCAACTCCACAGCTGGATCCGACACAAGGATACGTCGGGGGAGCGGGATAGGATGCCCGCGGTCCTCGCTCGGGAGGCGGCCAGAAGCGAAATTGTTTCGCCTCCACTTCCTCTGAGGATTCCCCTCACAAGCCTTGGGGCCCTCACACATTGTACGGTTGGGATATGTGCGCACGCTCGGAAAATGATCCGCGTCGCACGCATCCGACAACATCGCCAGCACGGTAGAGCACGTGGACTCTAGAGGCCGCGGGGGGATCGTCCCCTCCGCGGGAGGCACCGTGCTGGGAGGGGCCGCGTTGGCCGTCGCGGGGGCCGCAGCGAGTCTGGCACGCTTCTCCGAGCCAGCCGAGGGGCCCAGGGCGACCGCCGTTTCCCTAACACGGGTCTGAACAGGCTGTTCGAAATACACTTTGGGTCTCACCCCACGTTGGACACGAATGGAGGCTTCTGCATCCTCGCCCTTAGGCCTCCTACTCTTGCCCACAATCCGAACCCTGGGTTTCGAGTGGGGAAGAAGAGGAGGAGGAGGAGTGAACGCACCAAGAAGAGAAGAGACGAGGGCAAGCGGACAAGACGCGAGAAGAGGGCAAGTGATCCCGCGCCAGTCTCTCGCCGCTACGTCTATCTCAGGATGCGATCTGTACGCTCGACGCTCTGGCCGCCAGCATGGGGCCATACACGGGGAGCGGATTGTAGGACGTGCGTGAAACTCGGGAGACGGGAGAGCGGGGTGGAGAGGACCTGTCGGGAGGCACACGGCTGGCCGCGACAGCATGGCTACATTCATGGGCGGCCTCCTCCAGCCTACTCAGCGACGACGCGAACGCGCCGACGGGGGGCGTGGAAGAGGAGGAGGAGGAGGAGGAGGGGGGGGAGGAGGAGGCGAAGGCTCGAGGGGCGGGGAAGGGGGGGGGCAGGAGGCCCGCGAAACTCTTTCCTCCTGGGGCCCCCAGGGGCCGCTTGAGGCACGGGCTAGACCCTTGGGGAAGGCTCGGCGGGACCTCCTCGGGGTTGGACCGGGGCACAGGGGCCCGAGGTTCCGGAGGGCGGTACACTGAGCACGCCTCCAAACACATTCGACGGCCCCCTCATGCGGTCCGCGCGAAGCGCTGACAATATATACGTTCGCAGCCACCTGCGAACCTTGGCCTGGGCACGTGCAGGCGCTGTCTCGCAGTCAGTACTTGTTGCTGTCGTACTTGTCGTGGAGGTCGCCGCTGTCGACGTCGAGGGCGGCGCGCTGGGGGCTGCTGCCTGTCCGAATTGCCCGACGGCGTCATTGGCGATCCTATCCAGCACGCCACCTGTCGCACGATGTTCAGCATGAGGGAGTGCAGCTTCAGCTGCGTGGCCTCCGTCGCAAGCGCACGCATGGCCAGCCCCCGCTTGGCCGCCACATCTGCGTAGTCATTGCTTTTCTAATCTAAGGTAGCCTCGCCAATAGTCTGACGCGATGGGGGCGAAGGAGATTTCCAGCTGCGGCGGCGGCCCCCCTGGCCTTGTAGCGCTTGCCATAGCTGCCCCAGAAAGTCACAGTTCGGCCTGCGGGGATGAGCGCACCAGTCAACACCTTTCTTGACACCATCCACTGCGCCCACGCAACCCGCGCGCATGTGCAGCGGCAAGGTCCCGCGGCGCAGGACTAGAATGACCGCGAAAAGCTCCGCACGTGGAACCGACTGTTGATGTCCTGGCAATAGACCGCATGCAATCCCACGCGAAGCTTATCCCGTCATCATCGAAATTCCCCAACCTGCTCTGTTCGCTTCTGGCCACCCGATAGGAGATAGTTCAGATGATCCACCCGTGTAAAAACCGACTGTGAGCATCGCCACTTCGCCTCCACGAGCAAATCTCCACACCTTCCCCTGAGCTGGGGGCGGGATCGCGGGCGGGGCATCTCTCGGCAACAGCGCCCGCGTGAAAAAGATGTTGGCGCGGTGAGGCGCGCGCGCCGCCCAAGTGACGCCCGCGTCGACAGCTGCCCCCCCTACCGCTGAACTAGAGGGCGGCATCCTAGGCGATGACGAAGCGTCGCAGGGTAATCGAGACAGCGCTGGCAGAGGTCGCCCTCAGCATAACCACGTTGGTCGAGGTCTGGCCTGCGACCGCTGTCCTCCGGCGATGGCAACGCGTAGCGCAGAGCGCGCCTGCTCCGACAGGCCCCGCGCATTGGCGAGCTCCCTTGGAGCCAGTAGCAGTTTCAACGGCGCCATCCAGTAACCGCAGCGTCTGCGCGCAACTTTTTCACCTTCTGGCGCCGCGATCTTTCTGAGTCGCGTCGGGCCAAGGTTCTGGCCCACTCTGGACTGTCAATAATGAGATCCACCTTCACCCCCGCGCGCGCGCGCGCGCCATGTCGCCGCCGTCGCAGGGCGCCAATTGGGCGACTGGAGAGCCACCGGCACTGCGCCAACTGGGCCAGCAACGTCGGCGCGCTTGGGGTTCGGCCCGAGCTGCTGACGCTGCTGGAAGAAAGCCTTGTCGAGAATGCCGCTGGGCCCATAGGTGTCCTGCATGAGCCGCGCCCATGTGAAAAGTTGTCCTGAAATGGCCATCAGTTCCGGGCGCTCGTGGAAGCGCGGTTCGAGCTGCGCCGCGAGCCAAGTAGAAGTACAAGGTGGGGTTCGTCTCCATCCTATGCGCACCATGTTGGCCATCGCTCTGAGGAGCGCCTCGGTGGCTCCAACGATCTGCGCGCCGCTCTGCATGGCGGGGGCAGCGCGTGGTTGCGCCACCGCCCTCCCGATCTTGGCCAAACAGCAGAGCCTCTTGAATCTTGGCAGTCGCATCTTCATGTTGACCACCCTCTTCCGACTGGCAAAGAAGCCCAACGCGCGCCCGCCAATGGCTTCCGTGTCCAGCACCTCCGGTGCTGTGTATTGTCTGAAGCTGTGTCGGCGCACATGTTGTGCGACCTGCTGTGCCATGCGATAATCCGAGGCAAATGCCTCTGCCTTGTCTCGCGCAACAGGTAAGCCCAAGGCTTTGAGGATTGCCGCCAACCGTTGTAGTACACGTACCGCGTGGTATACAATGTCCCGCTGGTCTGCCACCACTTGCACCGTGATTCCACCGGCGTAGATGTCTACAGGGTGCTGAACCTCTTCGGTGTTCGCGAAAAACTCCCAAATATTCAAAGGCAGGATCATAACCAGCTGTAGTGAAAACATTGCTATCGAACGCCCTGGTAGCACCCCTCGGCCGACTTGGCGTGAGTGCGAAAATGCCGTCGTCCACTTGATGCGCCTGGGGGCACGATACATCGCCAGTCAGAGTTGTAAGACCTGGGTCGGGCAACCGAAATGTCATGCCGCTTGGAGTACTCTTCGCCAACAGACTCGGTCAAAGCATTTGCTTCTGCCCACCAATGTAGTCGCAGAGGCCTCTACCTTGTCCTGGGCAAAAGATCCCGCATGTATCGCGGCACGGGCGCCCGCAATCAGAATGCACTTGCTGGCGCCAAGTGCAAAATATGGTCGGGTATTGCGCGATATCCACTGCCTAACTTGATCGACCCGTACCCTAGTGTACAATCTGCACGTCGCTGGCAAAAGGGCTATTGGTCGAAACCCTCCTGGTGGTTTGGCTGGCAACATGGTGTACATTGAGTATGGCAGTCGGCCATCTCACCGATGCTCCTGCCACCCAGTAGATGTAGATGCGCATCGCCAAAGCTTCATCCGAAGTGAGAGAGATGGCTCGAGGTGGTAGAGCATCCGCGCCCAGCCCAGTGCGCCACTTGAGTGTTGTAGCAGTCTGTCGTACTTGATCCAGCGTAGGCACTGGTAGCGTCGCTGGAGAAAAGTGGCCGATGGCCTGCACAAGCCCTGCGTCCTCACGTTCTGCCAGGGGTCGTGGCATTGCATTATGGGGCCTTCGCGCCCCCTCGCAGATATTGCGCCAGCTGTCCATCTGGATATCTGCAATAGCCTGCGGAAGCGATGTGGCGGCTTGTCCCGCTTTGATCTGCGCGTGAGCCCGCGGCTGGACCCCGGTGATCGAACGCGCCTGCGCTGGGCCCGTGACCATTGCATATTGCACACAGCCTTGAACTTGCTGAATCGATGAAATCCAGCTTACCTGTCCACAGCGCCGGCGCACGCCTGGAGAGCGCCACCAAAGGCTTGTGGGCGCAAGATGCGGTGCATCGGCTGCTGCTTTCAGGCGAAGTGTATCATGCCCCAGGCACCTTCAAAGTACATCTTTCCCGTGGAAGTATGGGCGTCCTGCCTGTGTCCTAGTCGCAGCAATCTGGCCAAGTAAGTCCATCGCGCCCTTCGCCTCGATGATGGGCACGCGTGCAACGAAACGCCCGCTGAGCTCCTCTCGCCATCGCGTCCTTCTGCGCCTGCATCTTCATCTGGACAAGGTACTCCATGCACCCCTGGACCGACAGCTCCCTTGATCACTTGTTCTGCGCCACTGTGGGTGTCGTCGCCATGGTCAAGCGCCGAGCCTTTGTCACTGTCGATGTCTGCAGCTCCTCCACATGGAGCGGTCGCGTGGATGCCCCTGGCTTGGGGGCAGGGCCCTGAGGTGCTCACAAAGCTACTCCTTTTTTCCCTGCCCTGCACAACACGCCGCCCCTCGAGGATGTCGAGTCCCGCCCGCGCTACCCCGCCAGTGGCGGCACGTTTCCCGCCCTTCGCTCCGTCGGCAACCCTCATGCAAGGGCTCGCGGCACTCGGGGGGCCCACGGGCAACTCGACAACCTCCTCGACGCTGTCGCCAACATCGTGTCGCAGACGTCGTGGCTGACTGTCTTGAGGCGCTACAGGCTGGGATGTCATCCGCGAAACATTTGGCGACTGAGCCCTGCCCCAACGTGGAGGGGCAGAGGCTTGCGTACTGGGCTCGCCTGGCTCTCTGCATTGAGATGATACAGGCCGACTCTCTCGCAGCAGAACGCGAGGCGACCTAGCCCTGCCCCAGCGTGGAGGGGCAACGACTTGCGTTCTAGACAGATCTTCAGCAGCGTCATGATCAGGCACCCTAAGCCCTCGAAGATCAGCTTCTGCCTGTGGCCGCCGCTGCTGCCCCTCCAGCTCGACCCCGTCACGGGGCCCCCCCTAGGGCCGCGAGGGCGGAAGGAAGCGAGAGGAGGAGAAGGAGGAGGAGGAAGAGGGGGGGGAGGGGGAGGATGGGAGGAGGAGGAGGAGGAGGAGGAGGAGGAGGAGGCGGAGGAGGAGGAGGAGGAGGAGGAGGGGAGGAGGGGGGGAGGAGGAGGAGGAGGAGGAGGAGGAGGAGGAGGAGGAGGAGGAGGAGGAGGAGGAGGAGGAGCGCGCGACACTGGAGATGAGGAGAACTCGGCCCAGGACCGAGCAAAAGCAGCTCGCGCCAGGGGGGGGTGCGCGGCGCCCCCTTGCGCAAGCAGGTGTACGATCAACCAATGATTAAGGCCACTGTTCTCGGCAATGGCTACATTTGCTGGCGCCTCAACAAGCTTTCTTGCACTGGGTCTAGACGCCGCACCGCCGCCCCAGGCAACCGCTCGGGCGACACTAACCAGCGCTTCACCAAACATACAGAAATACAGCGTGCAGGATAGGCTGTGATGCGCGAGCATGGAGAGACTGAATGCCAACACCCAATGCCAATGTCAAATACTGTGGCGTACGTTCAAGCGTGGTGGCAAAAGTCAGCAGCGGACTGAAACGACAGACACTCATGTTAATGCTGGGCTGGCTTCAAACTTGAAAAAGACCGACCCAGAATTCACACCTCACATGTGTAAATTGCATGCCCAGCTTCATCTACCAAAGACAAGACGGAACCTACCGCCTCCCCCCCGACAAGTATCTATATCTGCCACCGTGCCCACTGGCACGTTGGGGCGTTTCTCATGAGCCACGGCAGCGGTCAACGGCAAATTCTTCGTGACCTCCAGGGTGAGCACGCACGCATCGTGGCCCATGGGCCACTGAATCCACCCCAGTAAGGATCGCTGGTCGGTCGGCCCTGCTGCAACTCCATGAAAGGGAACGGCGCGGCGACCTCTGGCGCGCGACGCCATAGGGGGCCCCGAACGGCACGTGGTGGCCTCTTTTGCGTTGCCGATTTGACTCGTTGCGCAGCCGATCCACTTTCTGACTCTTTCCTGGAACCGGGGGGTGGGAAACGAATCGCGCGCGGCGGCGGCGGCCCGGCGGCGCGTCCAGGACACGCCCCCGGATCACATCGAAAGAAGCCTGCCGGGGACCCAGGCCACTAGGTCCTCCGGGGGGGGGGGGGGCCCCCGAAAACGCGCTCCAAGGGCGATCCGCCCGGACGAGCCTGTGAACAACACGCACCTGGAGAGCACACGGACCGCCAAGTCGCGCCAGGACGGCCTCCTGGATGCGCAACGCAGCAGAGCCTCCCGGACCACCAAGCGGCGCTGGGAGAACCTCCCGGACACGTGAAACACCTGGGAAGCCGGAGCCGAAAGACCCACTAAGAGAACCTCCTTGATCGCGCTGGAAGCGGGCCCAACAGGGAAAACCGAAGCCCAGCAACACACCAGGAAAGCTTTCTGGATTACGAAGCCGAGCCAAATCGCGCCCCCGACACCCTGGGGAACAACCTGGGGCCAGGGGCCGACAGATCCCGCGAACCAGAGGTGGACAGCCCACCAGGAGAGCCTCCCAGATCAAATTGTGAAGCGCATAAGGAAGCCAGAGCCCAGCCACCCGCCCAGGAGAGCCCCCCGACATGCGCCACCTGCAAGATCATCATTCAAGCGAGAGCCAAGCGACCTACCAGGAGAGCCTCCCAGTTAACGCGGCCAGCACACTCGGGAACGGGAGTCCGACTGGGGCACCTGGGGCCCGCTGCCAGGGGCGCTCCCCACACAGAGATGACGCGCACCTCGGCCACAGCTCGCGGTCGAAGTCCGCTAAGCGCGTCGCCACAAGCCCCCCGCCAACGCCCGCATGGACGCGAAGACCTGATGGGCCGCCACGATGGAACCGCACCAGCGATTGCGCGAGGGGCCCCTTCGCGAGGGCGGGCAACCCCCCAGTTTACGTCAAATCGTTCACCGACAAGTTACCTAGCAACGTCGGCGCCGTGGACCCATTCTCGCGCAGCGCGGCGATCGCATCGGACGCGGCGATCGCGCAGCGCGGCGATCGCAGCATCTTACGCGGTCTCCACGACCCGGGCGGCGAACGCGGCCAGTCGCGAGGCGAGCCCCAGCATCCAGCCACCGCACCTCCCACAGAGAGCAAAGCTCCGCGAGGAGAGCCATCGTTCCTGACGTCGAGCAGCGCAAAACCGACGACGGACGGCGAGCGAAGCCCCGGGGACCGAACCGCCCTCCTCGGCACTTCCGACCTCTCGGCATACCATCACCCCGCGGGCGCTAAGTCACCTGAAAAGACGGAGCAGCGTGCGGGCGGAGAGGGGGGGAATCGGAACCTGCGCGAACGAGGGGGGGCAGCGCGACGGAAGCTGGCGCGCGCGCGCGAGGGTAGGGGGAAGCAGGTCGGCAGCAGGCAGAGGAGGAGGGCCAGCGCGCGGGGCAGGTACCAAAAAGCAAACAAACACAGCACGACGCGGCCAGAGCCCGGCCAGGGGCACGCGGACGCGAAGACGCGAATCGAACGAACGAACGCGACAGCCACGAGGCAAGCCAGCAGAACGGAGCCAAGCAACGACGGCGGGCCGGGGGGGTGGACGCACGCAAGGCAAAGACCAAAAAGCAAACCCTACACAGTGAGGCACGACAAGAAAGCAGGCCAGGGGGGAAACGCGGACGAGCAGACGCAGGCCGAACGAACAAGACAACCACGAGGCCCAGCAAGCAAGGCAGGGCCGCGGAGCCAGCCAGCAGAGCAAAGCAGACCAAGAGATACGCAAGCGGGCACGCGCGGCCCTCCTGAACAATACACCGCGGTGGACCACCGCGTCGGGGTCGCTGCTGGGAAAGCGAAGGCACATGGAGTGGCGACCAGCGACGCACGCGACGGTGCGCTTGAGCACCGCGAGGACATGCGCCTGCTTCCACCCCGAGAACGGCTTCATGAACAGCTTCTCAGCCTCGGCCGCGGTGATAATGGTTCGGTCATCCGCGGGCGGTTCGTCCTTCTCATCGAACTCATTCTCCGCCAAGCACCGCACTGAGTTCTTCACGAACTTGGCGTCGTTGTACCTGGCCCTGGCGAAGGTGTCCTCTGCGGCGTCGAAGAAGGACTTCAGGTCATCGATCGAGAGATGCCACATGCCAGGGTCGTCGAGGAGAGTGCCCTCGGACGCTGTCCCCTGGCTGGACTTGAAACCGTCCATCGACTTGCTGCGGCGCCATCCAGGGAGTAGATTACCGCCCGAGCGCGCCGCAGTGTAGCGGCCCATGGCCATGGCGAGCACGATGAAAGTGGGCGTCTTGCCGATGCCAGGCAAGCCAAAGAAGAGGAGTCCAAGCTGCGATAGGAGCGTGAAAATGCACGGAGGCAACACTTCTGGCCACAGCGCGTGCAAGTCGAACACGCACAGGGGGAACGAACGCTCAACCTTGGCGCACCCCGTTGCTGCCTTCGCTCGGTTGTGCACTGCGTTAGCAACTTTAGCCCACGGCCACCCCGCAATCTTGGACCCGCTGCTCGGCTTGATGTTCTTCTCAATGAAGAGCCACTGTTGGTTCATGTCGTTCACGGCGGGCGCGTGCTTGTTGATGAAGTCAATGCCCTCTTCGAGCTCCTCGTCCGTGGCCTCCCATCTCTTCTGTTCGCCGTCTGTCAGTTTCGCCCGTTGCTTCTCCTCCACGCTTGCCCAATCGACGCGGTGGCCAGGGATGCGATCAAGCAACCACTGCAGGGTTTTCTTGTGGAGCCATGGGCCTTTTCTCGCTATTGGAGCATACCCAGTCCCGATCACGAGCTCCTGTGCGGTCTTCAAGGGCACCTGGTTCTGGAACGCGTAGATCTTGACGGCGACGGCGGCGCCGTTGCCGTTGCCACCAGCGACAACGGAGTATGTGGTGCCTTCGGGGAGCTCAGCGCCTGGGCGAAGAGCAGGCGGCACGTCGGTGTACGTCTGCCCCGCGATCTGCTCCATGACCTGGTCCAGATTCTCTGGCATCGGAACCACGACGTCGAAGGGAGACCTGGTCACCCTCACCTCGCCCAGCTTCCGCAGAGCACCGCGGGCAAAAGTGCCGACGTCGATGGGCCCGTCAATGTCCCCCGCCGCCTTGCTGGACACGGCGGCCGCGTCCAACTCCGAGTAGGTCATGTCCTTGTTCTTCAAGGCGTCCATGGCCTCGTCGATGAACAACGGCATCGCGGGTCGAGCGGGCGCGAGCCTCGTCGGGCAACCACCAGCGATCCAACGATACAGCCAAAGAGCTTGAGCCACACGTCTTTGAACAAAAGCACGCAAGCGATCGCATATCTTGAATTTCGTGTCATTGATTGGCATAAGTTGCGCCACATAGCTTGCAACACATAGGTTGCGACTCATACACGGCACCGCTTGCACCACATACTCTGCACCATGTACGTTGCACCACATACCCTGCACCATGTAGATTGCGCCGCCTAGGTTGCACCTGTAGCTTGAAAGACGGGGGGTCGAGTGAGCACCCACAAGGCCAGTAGGCCATCACATTACACTTATCATCATCACAGCCACCACCATCATCATCAACAAATTCACCATCATCATCATCATTACCATGTCCATCACTGACACCATAGTCGCCATCCTCAGCATCATCGTCATCATCATCATTACCATCATCACCGTCATCATCATCATCCTCGTCTTCATCAAAAGCATCCCCATCATCATCATCATCATCATCATCATTATGACCTCGAATTGAAAGTGTGATATGGCCACCACTGTGTTGCTACTGGGTCTGAAAAGAGGCGGGGGCGGAGGAGGATCATGATGACCATGAGAAGTTGCTGTCGGGAACAGTCCTCCGGCCCAGTAGCAACACAGGGGGGCGCAGCGACACGAGCGAACGCAATTGCAACGCAGCCACATTACACTTATCATCATCACCGCCGTCACCATCGTCATCATCGTCATCACAATTCATCATCATCATTACCATGGCCATCATTACCACCATAGTCGTCATCCTCATCGTCATCGTCATCATCACCATTACCATCATCATCGTCATCATCATTGTCATCATCGTCATCATCATCATTATCATCCACGTCTTCATCAAAATCATCCCCATCTGGCACCGGCCGCAAGTTAGGCCATTACGTGACACTCATCATTGTCACCGCCATCACCATCATCATCATCAAATTCATCATCATCATCATCAGTACCATGACCATCATTACCACCATAGTCGTCCTCCTCCTCCTCCTCCTCATCATCATCATCATTACCATCATCATCGTCATCATCATCGTCATCATCATCATCCTCGTCTTCATTCAAAGCATACCCATCATCATTATGACCTCGAACTGAAAGTGCGATATGGCCACCACTGTGTTGCTACTGGGTCCGAAAGAGGCGGGGGCGGAGGAGGAAGATCATGATGACCAAGAGAAGTTGCTGTCGGGAACAGTCCTCCGACCCAGTAGCAACACAGGGGGGCGCAGCGACACGAGCGAACGCAATGGCAACGCAGCCACATTACACTTGTCATCATCACCGCCACCACCATCATCATCATCAAGTTCATCATCATCATTACCATGGCCACTATTACCACCAGGGTCGTCATCCTCATCATCATCACCGTCATCATCATTACCATCACCGTCGTCATCATCATTTTCATCATCGTCATCATCATTATCACCCACGTGTTCATCAAATCATGACCATCCGGCACCGGCGGTAAATTAGGCCATCAAGTTACAATTATCATCATCACCGCCATCACCATCGTCATCATCAACTTCATCAGCATCATCAGTTTCATTACCATGGCCATCATTTCACCATAGTCACCCTCATCATCATCATCATCATCATCATCGTCAGCATCATCATCATTACCATCATCATCGTCATCATCATTATCATCATCGTCATCATCATCATCATTACCATCATCATCGTCACCATCATTATCATCATCGTCATCATTATCATCATTCTCGTCCTGGTCTTCATTAACATCATCCCCATCATCATCATGACCTCGAAATGAACGTGCGATATGACCACCATTGTGTTGCTACTGGGCCCGAAAGGGGCGGGGGCGGAGGAGGATCATGATGACCATGAGAAGTTACTGTCGGGAACAGTCCTCCGACCCAGTAGCAACACAGGGCTCCTCCTCCTCCTCCCCCTCCTCGTCTTCATCGTCGTCGGCGGGGTCGGCAGCACCGGCCGTAAGATAAGGCGCCAATATACACTCATCATTATCACCACCACCATTATCATCATCATCGCCATCCTCATCTTCATCATCATCGCCATCATCAGCATCATCCTTATCATGAATACCACCATCATCATCGCTATCAGCATGATACTCATCGTCATTACCATCATCATCATTCATACCATGACCATCATCCCCATCACCGTCATGACCGTCATCATAACCGTCATCATCTTCACTATTACAAACCAATCCCAGGTGCCACAACTGCTTGCATCGGGGCCCTCCTCCTGCACCGACCGCAGCGAGATCAACCTTTCGGCCGTCCTCGCCGCTGCTCGACGAGAGCGTTGCAGTGCTTCCTCCTCCGCCGCCTCCTCCCGCATCCTCCTCCTCTTCCTCCTCCTCCTCCTGCTCCCCATCCTTCCCCTCCTCCTCCTCCTCCTCCTCCTCCTCCTCCTCCTTTTCCTTTTCCTCCTCCTCCTCCTCCTCCTCCTCTCCTCCTCCTCCTCCTCCTCCTCCCCCACATCCCTCCCATGTCTACTACTCTATATCATTATCTTCCTGCCTCCTCCTCCGTCCTCGGT